TTGGTTGCATCTGTCTTCTTTGGCACCTGAAAGTATCTCGGCACCTGGTGGGATTCCACGACTCCTTGCCTTCATCTTTATTGGTCAGTGGAGAAGGCGTCGGTTCCGGTAATTGCTATTTGCTTGGCTCTTTCCCTTTGCTACTGGAAATCGACATTGTGTTCATTTCTCTTGTTGCCGGTTGATCTCCTCTTATATTCTTGATTCCTTCTGGGGTAAGAAATTTCAACAGTTGATGATACGTTGAGGGCATGACCTTCATCTTATGTAACCATGGCCTTCCGATGATTATATTGTAACACATGTCGCCGTCTACCACTTAGAATAAGGTGGTTTTGGTTAATCCTTTAGCATTCGTGGACAGCAGGATCTCTCTTCGTGTTGTCACACTTGCCAAGTTAAACCCAACGAGAAGTTTTGTTGCCGGAATGATGCTTCCAGTTAACTTTGCTTGTTCCGGCACTCTCCATTAAATAATGCAGGGCGAGCTTCCCGGGTCAACCAAAACACGCTTAATTTTGAAATCTAAGACAGTGAGAGAGATTACCAGGGCATCGTTATGTGGAGGAAGAAGTCCGTCAGTGCCTTCCTCCATGAAGGTGATATCATATTCGGCGACCTCCCGAAGTCTTTTGCTGTGAGTCACTGAAACCTTTATCTTCTTGGCCACCGAGAAGGTTACTCCGTTGATTTCATTCCCTTTGAAAATTATGTTGACAGTCAACCGAGGAGGTTCTTCTTCTATCTTAGAAGGCTTCGCATTATCCTGACTACGGCCATAATTCTTCTTGGCCCAGACGCTCAAGAACTTCCTCAGATGACCGTTCTTCAACAATGTCGCCACTTCTTCGCGCAGATGCCGACAGTTCTAGTTCTGTGGTCGTGAGTCCCATGATATTCGCACCATAAGTTAGGATCCCTCTGGCTAGGATCGGATCAGATTAGCTTTGGGAATTATGCTTCTTTGATATTCCTCATCGCCGATACCAATTCTACTATGCCGATGTTGAAATTATAATCCGACAACCTGGGATATATGGAATCCCAGGCCCCGAGTACCTCTTTTTCTTTCAACAATCTGTTATTCCGGCCACGATCAGTTCTTTTATCGGGAGAGAACCTATCCGAGGACCGGAACCCTTTGCTGCCACGTCCTTCGGTTCTCTCGTATGGAAAGAAGCGACCTTTAGAAGATCGACGGTCTGCATCAAAATCACTTTTGAACTTATCCTGGTTCTTGTCTCGGTCCCGTCCCTTGGTTGATGTCAGAAACCCGAGCCGATCGTCTTCTATTATTATTTTTGACTCATAGCGGTTATGAGCATCAGCCCATGAAGTCGCTTGGAATTCGAGCAGGCTTTCCTTCAGCTTTCGGGAGGCGTCAGAGCTCCTCGGATTCAAACGCTTTGTGAATGCCTCCGCTGCCCACTTGTTGGTATGGCTGGTAGAAGCATCCTCTCCTTCTGGAATCTAATTACGAATTCCCACAACAATTTGGACTTGCCTTAAGAGATCCTAAATATGTCCGCCTTCCTGGCTCCAACATGAGCCTTTATGAAAGAATCTCCAAGCATTTCAAAAGAGTCAATTGAATGCTTGGGTAAAAGTGAATACCATGTCAGGGCCCCCTTTGTGAGGGTTTCTCCAAATTTCTTTAGTAGAACCGATTCGATCTCATGTTGAGCCAAATCATTCCCTTTCACAGCCATGGTATAAGTTGTGATGTGCTCCGTTTCAAAGTCCCATCGTATTTTGGTATGTCCGGCATCTTGAACCTCTTCGAAATTAACTCTGGTACTACGGTCGGTTTAAACGGCAACTGAGTATATTTTTTCGAATCTAGACCCTTCAAAACAAGTGGTGCACCCGGAATCTGATCAATTCGGGCGTGAAACTCCTTCGCATTTTGATCCATTCGTTGGTTCATTTCCCTCATAAATCTCATGAGCTCGGTTTTGAATAGATCATTAATTTTATCGTTACCAGATCCGCTACCGGTCCCTCCGGCACCGTCGAAACCGACCTCACCCCTCAGGGTATTGTTATCAACTCTTTGAGCCGTTTGATTTGCAGGAGCACCGGGAATAACCAGACCCCTTTTGCTTGCGTTGTTGGAAGCGCATGGCAACGCTTGCTTCAATTTCGTCATCACCTGATCCTGTCTTGAAAGGTGGCCCATGATGGCTTTCTGTTTCTCTCTTAGGATTCTTACTGTTTCCGCAACGTGTTCCTCTTCTGCGTCATTGGGAGTTGGCTCCCGTACATGTCGGGGGTACTGTCCTCCATAGACCTTGGTTACCTTATCCCCCTCGTTATGGGTGTCACTGATCGAATCCTCATGTTGAGGCGGATGTTCATGTCCCTCAACGTTTTGTGCGATGTTGACATCATTAGCTGTCATTTTTGATTTTTTGCTAAGGAACAAAGAATCAAACAAGTTAGTAATAAAAGCAAGGATTAACTCAATTACGCAACTGTCTAAGCCTTACGATAGGCGCCAAATTATTTACCCGTAAAATGGTACAGTTGAATTTGTTACGTGGTTTATAGACAAGCGAACTGATTTGATCCAAAAATGATAAATAAACAAGATAAAAAATAAGACTTATCGGTTAAACTTGAAAGAAATAACAAGCTTGGCTCCGATAGCAATGCCTTCGTGGATAGAAATAAGAACAATGTAAAAGAACAAATAAAGTTATTTGACTACGCAAATTATCCCCAAGAGAGGTAGTTTCAAGTATCTTGAATTTATAATACAAGGTAATGGGGAGATTGATGAAGATGTCACGCATCGAATCAGAGCAGGATGAATAAAGTGGAGGCTCGCTTTCGGTGTTTTGTGTGATAAGAATGTGCCGCTGAGACTTAAAGGTAAGTTCTACAAGGTTGTAATTAGACCGACTATGTTGTATGGAGCAGAGTATTGGCCGATCAAGAACTCTCATACCCAGAAGCCAAAAGTAGCTGAGATGAGGATGTTAAGGTGGATGCGTGGCCATACCCGATTGGATAAGATTAGGAATGAAGTTATTCGGAAAAAGGTGGGAGTGGACCCTGTGGAGGATAAGATGCGGGAGGCGAGGTTGAGATAGTTCGGACATGTTAAGAGGAGAAGTATAGAAGCCCCAGTTAGAAGGTGCGAGAGGATAGCCTCGGTGGGTAGCAAGAGGGGTAGAGGTAGGCCTAAAAAGTCTTGGGGAGAGGTTATTAGGCGGGATATGGCGCAACTGGAGCTGACTAGGGACATGGCCCTAGACAGGAGGGTGTGAAGGTCAAAGATTAGGGTAGAAGGTTTGTAGGTAGTCGAGCGTTTTCTATTTGTCTTACTCAGTTTGCTAGCATTAGTGTTAGTATAATATCTTTTTATTCATGGATTGTTATTCTACCTAGAGTTTCACTGCATTCTTGGATTCGATCTTATTTTATCTTGTTGTTATTCCTACTTGTTGCATTTTTCTTTTTATTTTCAACCTTTCTTTAGCCGAGGGTCTATTAGAAACAGTATCTCTGCCCTTCCGGGGGTAGGGGTAAGGCTGCATACATCCTACCCTCCCCATACCCCACTTGTGAATGGGTTTGTTGTTGTTGTTGTTGTTGTTGACTAAGATTGAGAATGGAACCTAGCATAAGTTTTGCCAAGAATTTCGTGTCTTACAATGGTTGTTGAGCCTACTATTTATAGCTATACCTAGGGAAACAAGATCCTAGGATCAAACCCCTCTTAAATGACAATAAAGGGGTCATTAATGAATATGTAACAGCATGACATAAATGCAAATATTCTCTGTAATGACTACATATTTAATGTTGGAGAATATTTTTCATTGAATGCTATCCGATGGTAAGCATTCGAACTGCTTCCGTTGACCAGGCTCCTTTCGAGATTTATTCGACACCAACTACAATTGTTGCCCCCGGTACTGGTTGTTACTCGATTTGCTTTTTACCTGCCTTCGACTACACGTGTCACGCTACCATTCGATCATTTATTATAAACCAATTTTACTCTGTACAATAATATTACCAAAAGTTATGCTAAAGATGCTGGAGGGGTAGCTAAACCAGGAAGTTGAGGCCACTATACAAAATCCTATTGCTAGTACTATAGTTATCATTGCATAAGTTGGTGCATACCCATGGATCTTCTAAACAATATTTATTGAAAAAATTCTTGAATATCGCTGAGGCAATTGCTATATATATAATAAACACCTTTGAGAAAGCGATTCCTCATCGATGGCAAAGTGTGCAAGTCATGTCTGATGGAAAGAATGTTACTTATATGATCTGATGAAAAAGTAGTTAAGCGTCATGCTGCTAATCGAAGCAGTCCGAACATACTTACATTTAAGACGTGAGAATAATTTGTGAATGACATATGAAACTTATTTTTCGCCCTAAGAATAAAATGTTATATATATTCTTACAGTTTTTAAATTAACGGCTCATAACTTACAAGTTGCAAAAAGTAACTTCTTCCAAAAGGCAATAATTATTTTTTATTTTGCTCTTGATAAATTATTACTTTAATATTGACAAAAATATTTTTTTAAATTAATTAACCAAAATACAAAATATTACACTTCAAAATAACTTTTTTGAATTGTGAAAACTTGACCGACCAGGTTATAAATGTTGTGTTCGACATATGTTTTGATTGCATGCATTCATAGAAATTTCAGCTTTTTACGGAGAAAAAAGCTTGAATTTTACAAATAGTAGTGTTTCCATCTAAAAAGCCTCTCATCCACCACTAGTATAAGTTGAATTTCACAATTCTAAAGAAAAGAAAGAAAAAAGGGAAAAGACAAAAAAGCTTGGTGAATGAGTAGTTTAATTAAAGAAGCAAACTCAGACACTGAAATCTGGCACTAAGGACGTGGAAGCAGCAGAAGGAACTGGTGATGAAAGTGGCAAAGTGCAGAAGCCACGACGCATGCCACGTTCTCTTCATGCAGCAACGTTTCAACACCCTTTTAATCAACTCTCCTCTTCTTCCACAAAAATTGTGTTAAATCTGTGAAGAGAAAAATGCCAGGCCTTACCATTGGAGATGACCTTCCTAATCTGGAAGTAGAAACCACTCATGGAAAGATGAAACTCCATGACTATGTTGGTGATAGCTATACCATTCTCTTTTCTCACCCAGGTCTAATTCACTATATTTCTACCTCTTGTGAAATAAGAATTTCTTTAGTAATAAATCAGAATAATCATACCACACATGCAAATAGTTCAAAATATTGCACATACCATGTATTTTTTATTATATGATTTGATATATAGCTGGAAAATAAAGTGGATAACTTGATGTAATTATATATATATATATATATATATATATATATATATATATATGCCTCGATCGAGACGTTGTTAATTTACTCTGTATGGATGCAGGTGATTTTACGCCAGTTTGTACGACGGAGCTTGGTATGATGGCTGCTTATTCAAGCAAGTTTGCTGAACGAGGAGTGAAGCTTCTTGGATTTTCTTGTGATGATGTTCATTCTCACAAGGAGTGGATCAAGGACATCGAATCTTACAACGTAAACTCAAATTTCTACATTTTAATTTAAGTTCTAGTAGCAGTTTTGTTTTCGTTATTAATTTTATATACTTGGCAGAATGGACATAAGGTGACATACCCAATAATTGCTGATCCGAAGAGAGAATTGATTAAGGAACTGAACATGGTGGATCCTGATGAGACAGATTCCTCTGGCCAAAAAGTCCCTTCTCGTGCTCTCCACATTGTTGGCCCTGACAAGAAGGTTTAATTTACTACAACATCATCACCTTTCATTTTGTTCCATATTGTACTACTCTCCATCTTTCACTTCTAAATTTCCGAATCAATCAAACTTATTTTTACTTTTTTCTTTTCTAGATGTTAGATCGTCTCGGAATTTAAATTATTACCCTATCTGTTCTATTTTATGTATTACTATTACTATTTGGAGTACTTTACAAGACACCCAAATTACAAATTGGAGTGCTCAAGGAGTTTTTCTTTGACTCTTTGAAAATTCTTTTAAATATTTTGATTATTAATTATTTTACTTATATTCCATTTTACGTGGTATACTGCTAGTATTTGGACAAAAAAAAATTCTTTCTTCATTGATTGCATAAATATTGTCTTGAAATATTCTAAATTCTTAACGATTTTATTTATCTATTCTTTACATCCTAAATACGTATAGTAAATTTTATTTCAAATTTCAAATTTCAAAAAATTTGAAGAATTTATGTCTGAATTTACTCATATAAAATTAAGTAGTTCAATCACATGGAATGGAACGGAGGAGTACGAGAATAGACTGCTGAATCTTTAAGCTATAAAGTTTGTAAACCATGTTCTTTTCTAATTTGGAAGGATGGAAGGTAAACTTTCTACCGACAGATGTTTTATTATATATATAGATATCTTACATTTTTTTCACATGTATATATAGGTCGAATTGAAATTAAATGAGTAATGGTTGAACGCACAAAACCGTGACTGTCTTAACAAAGAAAGGTCTGATCTTTTCTAACTTGGGTTTAACTTCTGTTCATCTTTGTAGATAAGGCTAAGCTTTTTGTACCCAGCAAGCACAGGAAGAAACATGGACGAAGTGTTGAGGGTTATTGATTCTCTACAGAAAGCTTCAAAGCATAAAATTGCAACCCCAGCAAACTGGAAACCGGGAGAACCGGTAGTGATATCACCCAGTGTCTCCAATGAACAAGCCAAGGAAATGTTTCCACAGGGATATGACACTGCCAATCTTCCTTCTCGCAAAGATTACCTGCGTTTCACTAATGTTTGAGAACCATATATATATNGAAATAGGTACCATTTTATTGGTGTTGTATTTAGATCCTGCACTTCTCTCTTAGAAACTGGATGAAAAGTTTCTTTAGGAGATATTGTTGTTAAGGTAATTTGGTGCTGGATTGTTTCAAGTCTTTTGGTATGGGGCTTGTTCCTTCTTTTTTCTTGTATTTTACGTATGTGTGAGAGTAGTTGCTTTAAAGTGTATTTTCAAACAGTTTTAAGTTTCATGTTAAATAGAAAACTATATGTGTGATTAGTATTAATTTGGTATTTGATAAATATGTACGTTGTACCTAGCAAACCATCATGTTATAATCGCTGATTTTTTTTAATGATAGATATTGATTCATAATATGTTTGAATTGATATTGACATATAATAAGCTAGATTGTACTGATTATTTTTTATAATAAATAATAATTGTTTTACAAAAATAATAATGCTGCAATAGGTAAAATATTTACAGAAAAAATTATTTCAACCAATGGTTAACCAATTTCAGCGAAAAGGGTTGTTGTGGGGCCACTGGAAAAGGCCACAAAGCCTCGCTTTCCCTATTTTGAAAAGAAGAGGGGAGGAAATGCAAAAACAAGTACTAGTATAACAACGATGATCAATATTTATTTTATGCATCAAAGTGCATTAATTTATCACAATTTAATGAAGAGTTTGAGATAAAAATGCCTATTCATTAATCGTAGTTGAGTAATATTATAATGCACGATAAATTATTTAGTTCCAAATTCCTTAAATTGAATATTCTCACATAAATAAAACACATGGAAACCAAATAGAAGAAAAATATATTTCAGCATAGATTTAAAAAGAAAAATTATTACTTCTTTAACCCTACAAAATTCATATCTCACGTTTCAAATTAAGCGAATTTTAGTTCACATTTAGAACTATATTCTTTGGCATTTTGTTATAAAAAAGTTGCAACCTACGATTAATGTTCAGGTACTTCTTTTTTGATATATAAATTTACTTTTACATAATTTGCTCCCAAAGTTATGACAGAAGTAAGAATTCTTTGAAGTTTAAAGCTGACAACACTAAAATATAGCCACACAAAAAAAGTGGATTCGTCTGTCTCAAAGTAATATCGATTTTTAATTATATTCCATGAATAAGAGAATAATAAACATCTATATGTAAAATAACCATTTATAACCACAATGGAAATTACATCTAGTCTCTAAGTAAAACAATCTGATATAAAACTATAAAATATGATATTCTAAAAAATCAAATAATACAGCCAATCAATACTGCAAGTATTTTTAAAATTCAATGAACAATCCAGATATAATCCCAAGAAATTCTTCTTGGGTTCCAATCTTCGAACCATCTCCAAAAGTGGGAGGGACTAAATTACAAAATCAATCAAAGATATTCTAGCTATTTTGTATTGTAAAGAATGCTCTTGTTATTTCTCGATGCCCCCAACAAGTAGGGGTAGCTACGTATATATAGCTAAAGGAAGAAATGGCGATTACGAATCACGGGGCTGCATGCTGGAGAGAATGGATTATGGGAACGAGAACAACACATGTCATCACTTTGCTACGCCACATGTAAAATACAAATTTTACCAATACAGATAGTACTTGCACTTCTTAGGCACATTATTATTAAGAGATGTAGAAGATACTGTTCGTTTTCCGTTCTTGATACGGAAGTAATCCTTTCATGGTATTCCATCAGTGATGTGATGAGATTTGCATTTATGATTCAAAACAAGTGGCGACATAGTACTGGTTCACTTGACAATTTTAATCCCCAAGGTTATCCGTATACGCCCTCCGTTTTAATTTATGTAAACTAATTTGATTGGGCATATAATTTAAAAAATAAGAGAAGACTTTTAAACTTGTATAAAATGAGGCACATATATTTTGTGTGGTTATAAATCATTGCATAAAGGTAAATTATTTTCAAATATGAAAAGTGATCATTCTTTTTGGTACGGACTAAAAAAGAAATATGTTCACATAAATTGAAATGGGGGATTGAATACTTAGAGGCTGCTTTTACTGAGAAAGAAGCACATATGAGTCACTTGACCGATAAGCATTCACAATTGTCATACGACCTCGCGTGAAACCAAGTGCGGGCATTACATCTTGAGTAGGTTCTTGGATCATGGAAGGAGTCTACTAATTCTCTTCAATCCAAAGTGGAATAGTTGAGCACACGGGACAAAGAGGTCCGAGATATTGACAAGGCAGCCTTGTAATCGGAGCTTGCTCAGAACGTTATTTTTCTTGAATCCAAGTTATTGACAATGAAGAGTGTCCATGCCAGCATCTCCAATTTAGAGGAGTAAATCGAGAAGTTAGAGAAGGCGGTGACAGAGGCACGACAAACTTTGGATTCCACCTCCCGTGAAGAGAGTCCTCCTGGTGGAGAGTCCCCGAGTTCTCCATAGAGAGGTGTCGCTGAATCACGTCCCCGACCTTCAATTTGTCAAGCAAAATTGTCCCCTTCTGGATCGGCGCTTCAAGACTATCAATCTCCTTTGACCTCAGTGGGGGAGTCTGTGATAACATAGTGCAATTGCAGTGAACCAGAATTTGGGGTTTTTTTTTAGGGGTGGGGGAGGGTCCTTTTATGATGTTTCTTAATTATTTTCCTCTTTTTTGTTTTTTTATTATTTTTCCTTTTGGCCAATTAGAGGCCTGGGCACGTGTGTCTTTTAATATACTTGAATGGAACCTTTGCTATTAATAAAAAACTCCTTTTGTCTTTTTACGTCTCTTCGAGTAATTTTTGCGCTTTCGGAGCCTCGTTCTGGAACTCTTATGTGAGACTCGGACTCTTGTTCTCGGAAACTGATTTCGATATTCAGTCACCCCAAAGCTAGTTTTCTCATATACCGGGGGAGGTCCTTTCGCTAAGCAAGAGCGCCACGTTTGACTGAGATGTGTAAAGCTTAAGGAAACCTAGCGGGAAGACTTGTCTTTTCTGACAAGCATCCTTTAGGTTCATCATGTCAAAAGGTCACATCCATTGAATGCTTGAGGCACATGGCCATCCCCATATCAATCGGCGTCTGCGTCAATTTACCATGTAATGATGATCATTCCTTATAAAAGAGGAGGGGAGTGAACTAAGCCTCACTTTTACTTTGCATACTCCATCTTATCTATCTCTCCTTCTACCCACACTTCTTCTTGGTCTTCTTCTTCTTCTTCTCCTTATTATCAAACCTTTTTGCTTTCTTCAGCATAATCATAATGGATTCTCATAATCGCAACCTTTCAGTAGAGATGCCTTCATCTTCTCCTACCGCTGCTGCACTTGAAAACATCTCCACCACTGCTATTGCTGACGCGGCCATGGTGGAGGTGAAGTTGCCGCCAGCAAAGAGGAGAAGAAGTGAAAAGGTTGAGTTAGTAGATCTGTCGGAGCGGAAAATTTTGGATATTGTGCCAAAAGGGTTGGGGAAAGTAAGAGAACAGTTAAAAGGAAAATCTCTGTATACAACTTTCTGAATCTTATAATAGATCATATCCTCCCCGCCATTCGAAAGGACTGCATATGGGACACAAAGACGGATCTTGTCCTCAGACTTCCTAGAAAAGAGGAAAGGATTACCAGTCATCGCCCAGGGCACTCGTTGATCAGCACGTATCCCTTTTCAACGGGCTTTTCCCTTCCATAGGATGAGATCGCAGCTAAGTTTTGCATCAATCATGGGTTGTGCCTAGCATAAATAGGTCCCCAAATATGGAGATTGGTCATACGCCTTCGGCAGTTGGCTTCCAAGGTCGATGTTTCTTTTACTTACCATCATTTACTTTATCTGTTCTCTCTCTATCTAGGGGGAGTGATCAACATGACACAGTGAGGTTAAAAGACTCTCATCTCGGACTGCCATATAACTTCGACAAGAGGTGGTGCGAATGATATGTGGTCGTTCAAACCATGTTTCTTTGGCCAGACCCCAAGATCCAGTTCCCAGAGAAGTGGAATTTTACTCGTGAACCTCTCAGACTTCTTTGCTTTCTTTTATTAAATTAGAGGATAACCTCTTACTACTTTTTGCACTGTTTAGCTGCTGTGGTAGAGGTGGAAAAGGTTCTAGGTATAGAAGACTGGGTGTCCAAGATTTTGTATGTATCCACCAATGTCTCGAGGACATGCAAGAACATTGCAGCCGAACTAGTAGGCATTCTCGTAGAGTACCGTGGTATGATTTTCTCAGGTGTTGCTATTTTGTATTCCTCCTTTTATTTTGTGCTTTCTAACATATGCGAATCTAGATAGGTGTGGGCGTTGATAAGAGACCAAAACCTCGGGCCAGTTCATTAGAAGAGGCATCTTAGATAATTCAAGAACTAATCCATATGGTTCCGGACAGGGCTCCTTCGAGACCATCTTCCTCTGGTTCTTCGAAGAGAAAGCGCACCTCTGAGAGAAAATCTTTGCCCTTTTGATTGGAGAGGATGCCACTCAATCCATTCCCCCGGCTACACAGGATGGTTCCACTGGAGGATAGACACATATCGACTCTATCCAGGTTGATTATGGTGGAAGAAACCCCTATTCCTTCATCTGCACTAGCTATTCCGTAAGGAGGTCTGGTATCGGAGGTCGTGATAGAGATAATTTCGGATGAGGGTCTGGTTATAAAGCGAGTTGTCTCATCCAGGGAGAGATCTGTGTTGCCTTCATGTGAGTGAGTGGTTCAACCTTCCCAAATCATTCTTTCGACTTAAGAGCTGAATTCTCGAGAGGATGCCAACAAGGTGGTTGCATAGGCTCGTGAGGGTCCCGTTGCCTTAACGGCCGATAATGCTGAGCACCGTCTTCTCAATTTTTCTGTGCCGAGTGGAGTCGAAACGTACAAGGATCCTAAGCATGTTGCTGCTCATCTTCCTCAGTTGACGAGTCCCCAAGACTAGCAACATATGTGGCTTATGAATGTGGATGCCCTACTGACTCAAATGGCTTATGAGACTACAAAGGTAAGTTTCTTCGCATTCCTTTTTATTTGATTTTATTATTCATTAATATGACGCAAATTGTTTCCCCTTTGAAGATTGATGTGCTCACCTTGGGGACTCTAAAAAAGGTTCGAGAGGATGCGACTATGGCCAAAGAGGTGGTAAGGTATGACCGAGCATTGAGGGCCATAAATGAGAAGCTCGGAGAAAGAGGGAGATCTCTTTTTTCCGGGACTGAAGCCACGGAAAGGAGTACTAAAAAGAGAATGGCCGAATTCTTGGAAAGCAAGACGGTTCGAGTGGCCGAATGCAATGGGGACAACGATAGGCATTTTGCTCTCCAGGCCGGTCTAGTATTGAAGGCCGATGAGGAGGTTCGGCTGAGGGAAGAGTGCTCCCATTTTTAAGCCGAGACACAGGGGTTAAGGTCAGATTTACCCTACTGAGGAGATAGACTGGGCCAACAATGCTAATCGGGAAACCCTTCAAGTGGCTTTCGAAGATTTGCAGAAAGAAGCAGTCATGAGAGGAGCGTGGACCATCATAGTGACTTGTTTGCACACTCTTCACGAGTTATGCACTGCTGCAGTGAATTTTCTAGTTGAGGTTCCCAAACTAGAGGAAGAGAAAAATGGATCTTGGTCGATGACTTGGTCTCCCTTCTACGGATATGCGAGGTCTTACCTCTGATGAAGATGAAGGTTTGGACGATGTTGAGGATGAAGAAGTGGAGGAAGTGATATGTCCCTGACATGTCGGTCCCTTCTGGTGTCGTTGATCAAAACGCTCCCTCTTTTGGAACAAAGGACAATGATTGGCCATAGTTTGAGGCTTTTGAGTTTTTGTACTTATTTATTGCTCCCTAAGAGACTTTATGTAAACAAAGCATTTAATGTAATCCTTTTTTGTTCCTTCAAGTATTTTGTACCTTAAGGACGTTTTTTGTGAATATTTATATTGTCTGTATTAGTGTTATTGGCTATATAGGCTCTGAGTCTTTTAGACTTTGTCATTTTTGGATGATAGCTTAGTATCGTGATGGACCTCTTTTTTTGGCATGAGCAAGGCGCAAGAATGAAAAAACGGTCTTATAAGGATTGGTGATTCCTGCTATCAAGCATTGAATGAATATATGTGTATTTTGCGAAATATATGTTCAATTGAAAGATAATAACTTTTGTTATTTTATATCCATCAAATTAGCGTTGGGTAGATCCAAGCACCATATTATATAGATGCTTTTGACCGCTCTAACCGGGTCGTTACATTCATATGTAGCTTGGTCCATCTTTATTATGTGTTATTTATCCATTCCTACTTTTTTTATGCCAATGTTGGTGACATGAGATAACTCTCTTCATTTATTTCTGGGATGGGAGGACAAACAGGCACACCATACTTAAGAAATGACTTTTCTTAAAGGTCTGATAAGATTTAAAAAATTTAAAATCGGGCGCAATAGTTAGTTTTTGTAGACTTTGATTTCAAAATAGGGGTTGCAATCACTCTTTGTAGACTTTGCTTTTTCCCATGGTATACCCCTTAGTGTTTGGGGATGAAGTATGAAGACTCTACACTAGGATGTCAGCCGGCAATCGCCATATTTGATGTAGATGATTTCTCTCGAGGGTCGTGTTCCTGCAAAAGGAAGTGAAGGGACCGGAAGAGTATTCTTAGATAAAGACGGTACCTAGTCCCTTTTTTTTAATCAAACGGTTCAATCTTGGCATGGAACTACGAATGTTCATTTATTGTTCCAAAAAGGTCTGTATGGTCATCATTTAGGCTGCGTTTATTGCCTATCATCTAAAAATATAAGTAGAGAATAATAAATTCTTAAAATAGTTTGAAGGAGAGGAAACAAAACCATTTTGGTTCTTCAAAAGTAGAACTGTTTGAGGTACGCTGCATTCCACTTTTCCTTTACGGGATTTTCGTCCATTTTTCGAGTTTGTACAATCCTTTGCGTGTTATCTTAGTGATCTGGTAGGGTCCTTCCCAATTTAGCCCGAGCTTTCCCATATTTGGTTCTTGAGACGCTGCACATACACTTTAGAGCACGTAATCACCTATTTTAAAATTCTAAAGATTGGCTTTCTTGTTGTAATACTTTTTGATCCGTTGTTTTTGCGTAGCCATTCGAACTAACACCATCCCCCTTCGTCCTTCCACTAGGTCTAAGTTTCAAGCCACTGCTTCATTGTTTGAGTCTTCGATGGGGTGTGTAAACCTTAGAGTGGATTCCCATATCTGGACTAGGATGAGTGCTTCCGATCCATATACTAAAGAGAAAGGGATTTCTCCAATACTTGTCTTTGTCGTTGCATGGTAGGCCCATAACACCCCGGGCAGCTCTTCTGGACATTTTCTTTTGTCATTTCTAATATCGTTTTTTGGTAACTGAGCAAAACTTTGTTTGAATATTTAGCTTGTCCGTTAGCTCACTGGTGATATAGAGTGGAGGTAATTCTTTTGATCTGCCATTCTTCGAAGAATTTGGTCACTTTAGCTCTAATGAATTGTGGTCCATTGTCGCACACAATTTTCTTGGGTAACCAAAACCTACATATGATGTTCCTCCGTACGAAGTCTATCACTTTATTTTTCCTAATCTTTGAGTATCCACCTGCTTCCACTCATTTGGAGAAGTAGTCACTTAACACAAGTAAAACTTTTACATGGCCTGGAGCTTGGGGTAAAGGCTCCACTATATCCATCCCCCACTTTATAAAAGGCCAATGAGATAATATGGAATGCAATGGGTCGGCTGACTAATGTAACCGGTTTGGAAATTATTGACACTTTTTGCATCACTTTACAAAGCTAGTTGTGTCATGTTCCATTTAGGACCAATAGTACCCGACTCTAATTAATTTTCTAACTAATGACCTATCTCCGCAGTGATTTCTGCAATGTCCTTCATGGACTTCTCTCATCACGTAGCTTGTATCTCCAGGCCCCAGACATTCAGCCAATGGACTGTTGAAAGTTTTCCAGTACAAATTCTTTTAATGAAACAATATCTTGCTGCCCGAATTTAGATCTGTCGAGCGACTTTCTTATCTTCGGGTATCAAGTCGTTCTGCAAATAATTAATAAACTCATTGTGCTAGTACCAAATCAAATTAGTTGTATTTACCTCCTTGATCGATTGTTGAACGAAACAGATGGATGACCGAGTTAATTCTGGAGTCGGTAATCTCCGCAGATGATCCCAAGTTAGCTAATGCATCCACTTCGGCATTCTCTTCATGGGGTATTTAAGTTTCCTTCCACTCCTGAAATAGGAGTTGCATTATTCTTGCGGGGTATTGCTTCATGCTGGCCTCTCAAGCTATGTAAGTTCCATGCACTTGATTGATGACCAGCTAGGAGTTGTATTTTAATTCTGTCCGTTTGGTCCCTAGCTCTTGGGATAATTCGAGTCCTATAACAACAACCTCATACACGACATCATTATTAGTTATTGAATGACACTTAATGGATTATTGTACTTTTTCACCAATAGGGGTGATAACTAATATTCCGATCCTATACCTTCTCGAGTTGGATAAGTTGTCTGTGAATAAGGTCCAGGTTCGCGGGACAGTTCCGGAAGCGATTATTTCTTCTTTTTCTGCATGTGGTAGTATGCTAGCACTAAAATTGGCAGCAAAGTCCTAGGACCTGTGATTTTATAGTGTTTCGGGGTTGATATAAAATATCATATGCATTCAGCTCGACCCATTTGTCGTGTTGCCTCAAAATCTTTGGTTTGTGGAGAATACTTCGTAACGGGAAAGTAAAGACCACAGAAATGGGTTGGCACTGGAAGTAGTTCTCAAATTTCAAGTCAACCATTATAAGTGCTAGTGCAAGTTTTCATAAGTGGGGATATCGGGTTTCGACATCTATCAGTGTCTTTCTTACATAATAGATTAGAGAGATTGCATACCTTTGTCTTCTAGAACCAGTACAACACTTACATTGGTCTTCGACACGGCCAGGTACACCAATAATTATTCTCCCTGTCGGGGTTTTGATAATAATGGCAGTTTGGATAGGTACCTTTTCAAATTCTGTAGTTCTTGTTGGCATTTATGTGTCTACTCGAAGTTTTTGGTCTTCTTCAATATTGTAAAAATTTTGTGGCATCTTTTGGAAAAGCGTGATATGAATCGACCGATCCGCCCGATCAGCCTCATCACTTCCTTTTGGCTCTTTAATATCTCAGTTATATCCTCAATTGCTTTGATCTGCACAGGGTTAGCTTCTATACCTCTATTAGAAATGAGTAAACCAAGAAACTTACCTGAGCCGACTCCGAAAGCTTACTTCTCCAAATTTAGCTTCATGTTGTAATTCTGATGACCTCAAAAGATTCTTTTAGATACTTTATATGGTTGTCTTCTTGGACAGACTTCACGAACATGCCATCAATGTAGACTTCCATGAACTTGCCAATATAATCTTTGAACATGTGAGTGATGACCCTTTTATACATGGATCGTGGATTCTTCAAACCAAACGACATGACGTTATAGCGCTAAGTCCTTCTATCGGTAATGAATGAAGTCTTTTTTGTTCGTCTAGATCCATTTTTATTTGGTTGTATCCGAAATACGCATCCAAAAAACTCAATAATTCGTGGCCAACAGTGGAATCTATAAGCTGTTCAATGTTTGGCACTGGAAAACAATCCTTCGTGTAAGCATTATTTAGATCATTGTAATCGACACAGACCCTCTATTTTCCATTCTTTTTAGGCACCACCATGATATTTGCCAACCACTCCGGTTATTTTACTTCGCGGATGAACCCATTGTTCAATAACTTGGTAACTTTTTCTTTTGTTGCTCGGGCCCATTCAGGTCCAATATTACTTTTGTTTTTGTTTTACAGGACAGTGGTTCGGATCCACGTTTAGCTTATGCATCATAATTTCTATCAAAGCTCCTTTATTATCTACATGAGACCAAGCAAAACAATCCATATTTTCTCGCAAAAACTTGTTAACTTATGCTTATGCTCGGGAGTCAGTCGTGAGCCGATGTAGACCTCTCTATCTGGCCAATAGACAAAGAGAATCACTACTTCCATTTCCTCAACAATCGGTGTGGAAATGTTGTCCTCTTATGGATCGATGATTTTATCCAAAGGGAGATTGGTTTCAGGGAAATTTGAGTTGGTGTCGATGGTTGTGTACCTATCCCCTAGTTGTTGTAGTTGCTATTGAGTGTCTTCCTCTTTGGGGGAGCTATTTGCAGCTTCTATGGAATTGACCTCCCAGGACTCTCTTTGTTCTCCTCGAATTTGTCGTATTTCCCATTTTAATGGAAATTTTATCACCTGATGCAGTATTGAAGGACTCCATCCATTTCATGAATCCAAGGCTTCCCGGGTGTCCTTAACTATCCCCTTAGTGTTGGTCACTAGTGTTATTTCCCCTCGGGTCATCTCACCAGAGTTGTTGAACCCCGAGAGCAGTCGTACCTTGGGGATGACTCAATCGGTGAGTTTCATTTCCTCTATCGCTCGCAATTGGATGATGTTCGATGACCTATCTGAATCAATCAAAACTCTTCTTACGTCAGTTTAAAAAATTCGTAAAGTAATTACAAGATCATCATTGTGTGGCATGGTCAAGCCATCCGCATCTTCATCATCAAAAGTTATGCTTTCTCCAGTTAATTTTTGCCCAGTATGCTAACGTAAAGGTCATGTCGTTCACTTCTCCCCCCCACCCAAAGATGTCATTCATGATTGGCTTAGGAGTTTGGACCTTTGGTGTCTTCTCTTTATTCATGTTCTTCATATATGATAATTTTGCCTTCTCTTTAAAAAGTTCGGTTAGCTATCCTTGTTTGAGAAAGAGATCAACTTTTCCTTGAAGGAGCCTGCAATATGAGGTTTTATGTCCATTATGGAATTCACACCG